GAAATCCATATTTTAGATGCATAAAGCCTCCCAAGTAAATTTGGAGACCTACAGATCACACCATCATCTGGAAATGCACGAATCTATGATAGTGTCAATTCCCAACCCACAAAGAAAAATGTTTGGCTGACATGTAGATTCTCTCCCAAAACCTCTCAGTTCAAAAGAGGAGAACACAAAAAATGCCATCCATTTGAATACTGCTAAGTAAACTTTATTATTGTCAGTGCTAGTAGTGCTTATTGAGACAAGATTAAATGGTTCTACAATGGGAATTTCAGAAGGAGTGTGCCATAATAATAGTCAGGAGCAAGATGTGAGCCTGCCTTCAGGACTGTCCATGAGTTCTATTATTTCAAAGCTGGAGTGGATTGGGATCTCTTTCATTTTTTATGTGGTGAACTGTGCCTTTTTTTGAGCAACCTCACCTGCTGTGCTGACTCATTTCTGTAGTGCTGAAAGCAGATCTCTTGTCTAAAGCTCGGTGGAATTCAGCTTTCTCATTTCACAGGAGGTCTCATTACTTCCTCTAAATTGCCAAGTACACAACTAAAACAATGTAGTCTCCCGAAATGAGGCAGACAATGAAAAATTACATTTCAGAAACGAGGTCATCCTGCAGATATATTTGGAGAGAACCATCAGGGTTTGATTCATGTTTAAAGGAAAAGCACCCATCATTAACTCAGAGGCAAACACAGCTAATCCAAGTATTTACCTGCTCACTTAATACACAGACATTACTCTGCTCTATCAAAATGATCCCATTTCTTCTCTATCACCCTAGGCATGTTCATGCAGAAAATAAAATGCATAAACCCAAGGAACTTCAAGAGAAATTTTTAGAGGACATTTGTGCACCCTGCTCCCCTTTGTCTGGTGAAAATGCAACATCTAAACCACTCCTGAGGCCACCAGGTTCCCATTCCCAATGAACAGGACAGAATGGCAAAGAGGAGAAAAACCTCAAAACAAGAAGTTTCCCCAGTTACCAGACTCAAACGCCTTTCAGCAACTCCTGTCTTCCAGAAAACTTCTTGTTTCTTCCCTCCTACTGTGTTCCTCAAGCAAGGCAGGCATTCAGAACTCAGAAATCATCAGAGAGAGGCTGAATCACAGCTCCTCTGCCAAAATCTCCAATTTTTGTGACTCAACACAACCATAAGCACTGTAAGACTAAAACAACACTACTGAAAAATAGTTTGATTTCTACCTTCTAGCCAAAACAGCTCATCTCCTTCAGATCCTAAACACAGCACAGGCTTACCTGAGGAGAAAATTAAAAATTCATTTCTTACACAGCTAGTGGTTTTTTTGCATTTCTGTTAATCAGTCCAAATTTCTATTTCAGGCACAAAGTCTCTGGTTACTTTTGTATTTCAACTGAAAATTCATCTCTTAAAAAAAACTTTTTAATTAGCACTCCTTTCAAATGGTATAATTGTTAATTAGTTGCTCCCTGTTAAATTTGCTGGCAAAGTGCTCTGGGAGTTTATAAATAGCCCACTTGGTGTTTGGTTTGCATTTCTGGGATGTGACAGACGTGGCAGGGCAGACACACCTCAGGGAAGGGAGTGGCATCCTTCTGGAATCCCATCCCAGAGAAACCCTGCAGGTGAGAAACCGAAACCAGGACAAACTCAGGAAAAGCAATTGCCTGTTACTGATAGCAAACGAAATTTATCTTTGCAATTAATAATAAATCATCGGTTTAATAATTTTAAATAAATAATAATATAAGAAAAGTATTAATGAAATATAATAATAATATTAGAAGAAGAAGAAGGAGAAGAAGGAGGAGAAGAAGAAGGAGGAGAAGGAGGAGGAGAAGGGGAAGAAGGAGAAGGAAAAGAAGAAGGAGGAGAAGAAGAAGGAGAAGGAAAAGAAGAAGAAGGAGAAGGAGAAGAAGAAGAAGGAGAAGGAATAGAAGGAGAAGGAAAAGAAGAAGAAGGAGAAGGAAAAGAAGAAGGAGAAGAAGGAGAAGAAGAAGGAGAAGAAGAAGAAGGAGACGAAGAAGAAGAAGCAGCAAGGGACAAATTAGAGGCAGGAAAATCATTGACACAGAGTGAAGCTCTTCTGCTTCCCATCAAGAAACAGCATCTCAAATGTCACAAATGTGAGAGATTTCTGCACAAGGAGCAGAAAGGAACAAGGGGAGCAGGAGGGTCACAGCTCACTGCCTGCAAACACAGGACAGCAGCTCCTGGAGAGATTTTTAGAAGCTTTTCCTCTGGAGAGGAGAAAAGAGAAAATTTTGCTGGAGAATCTGAATGACAGGCAAAAAAGGCTGGGAATTTGGGAGCTGAAAGTGGGAAGTTGGTATAAAATACATTACTGGGCCAACCAGGAACACCCATATAATTAAATCAACTAAAAAGGGTGGGAAAAAGGACAACTAAACTAAAAAACTAAACTAAAAAGAAGAGACGGCGCAATATCCATGCTGCAACACTGACAAAATTCTCAGCTGAGTGCAACAATGTGATTTATTAGTATCCATTTTAAATAACACTTTAGAAGTGAAATCCAACTTTTTGCTATGACCCTTCATGATATATCAGGAATTAAAATCTGGGGTGTTTTTAACTGACATTCAAATTTATCCTAGAAGGGGAAGAGCTGCAGCTTTCATGGCTTTTACAGATATTTGGAGCAATCTGTGTGAAAACATGAATTCACACCCACATGCAACGCTTGTATCAGTAGTTATTGTCATTAACACTGCAGCCTAATTACTTCTGCCAATAATATGAGAATATTTTAGCTGCCCTCAGACTTCATCATTTCAATTCACTATCCTTAAAAAAAGCCTTTCAAAGAGTTATGTTTGTGTTTAGAGAAGAGGTGGAGGGAATAATGTCACTACAGGTTTTGCTGGCTGGATAAGTAAAAGATTTGCTTCTCCAAAACGCTCTCGTAAGCACTTCAAGTATCAGCCCCTGGAAACACAGAGATGCGCTAAATGTGACAAACTGTGACAACAAGTGTGTGTTTGCCTCCCTCTGCCGGCTCATATCTGTGTAGCTACTGGCCCCAGTGCTGGCCAAAAAAACACACACAGACAACTTTTGTCTCAAAATTCTGAATCTCTTTGTATCACTTATGGTCAGCCTGTCTGCAGGCAGAACCCAGGATTAAATGTTCCCAGTTTTGGTAACAAATTTTCCACTCCAAAGGCGAAGGCGGGTGTGTGACCCTTGTGTAACGCTATAAATAAGGCAAATATATCTTTGCTAAAACCAGAGTTTGTGTTTATTTTAAATACATTTGTTCCAATTACAAAATCCTCAACGTGTACTGGGATTACACTGGTGCTGGAATTTTAATTCTGCAGGCACCCTGCACGTCCCACAACATGCATTAACTCTAACTCAGAGCACACTCCCTTAATGCTGTGCATTAAAATAAAATACCGAGCGACTCCTGCCACTATTTTTCTGTCCCCAGCACTTTTCAGGGCACTGGCTGTCACTCTGGTGCCAGATAGCATCTGCAGATCTGACAAGTTTCAAAACATTCACATCAGCATTGGCTCACAGCTCAGAGCGCTGCACTTAAAAGTACACAGAACTTCTGCTTCTGGAAAATCTTGTTTTACTCAAGGGAAGGCTTGAAAAATGGAGTTTATTCCATTTAGGGGCTTTAAAGTCTGCTCAAGGCTGCATTAGTAGTGCAGTGGGATTTTTCAGTTTTAAGCAAATTTAACGATTCTGGCTAACCTCCACAGCCCCTGCAGTCATCAATTCTTTATCAACAGTACTGGTACAGCACCTCTCTTTCTGGGGTTGTCCAGAGTACCTCAAATCAGCTCGAATCCATCCCAAAAGCCTTCCTGCCAGAATCCTCTGAGGATCTTTTTGGCCTGCTCTGAGCTCCACAGAAGCAATCAGCAATGCCCTCACTAGACCTGGAGGAGTGGTGTCATATTTAATGGAAAGAAGGCTAAAGAAATAGTCACCAACCAGTATTAATGACAGGTCTCATCCTCAAATAGAAACAAACAAATTGGAAAATTCTGGGGAGTAGGGGAACACCAATGGGAAACCCCCACAACCTCATAATCCCGAGCCAGATATGCAGAGCATCAGCTACCTGTGAGCACCACCTGAAGATGAATTTTTCCCTCATTTCATCACCGACATCCTTCCACCGTCAGTATCTGGCTTATTTCACACACAGCCTTGAAGACAAACCTCTAAGAGTTAGGATTTTTAGGACAGCGCCTTCCTCGCTACTTTTAACCAAATGCCACTCCCAGAGTTTAGCGCACCCTTTCAAACAGCGCGTTCCCTGCCCAGAAATGAAAGCGCTGGGTGAAACACCTGTCCTCCCGCAGGAAAACTGCCAGGAGCTGCGGAGAGAAGGCAACAAGGGAGGGAAAGGAACGGGGCAGCCTCCGGCAGGAGAGGAGCGTGCAGAGCCCAGCCCGGGAGGCTCCCGCGGCCGGGGAGCCTCGGGGACAGCCGCGGGGACAAATGAGAGGCTGTCCCGGGACACCTCGGGGACATCCTCGGGGACAGCCTTGGGGACAAATGAGAGGCTGTCCCGGGGAGCCTTCGGGACAACCGCGGGGACAAATGAGAGACTGTCCCGGGACACCTCGGGGACAACCTCGGGAACAAATGAGAGGCTGTCCCGGGACACCTCGGGGACATCCTCGGGGTGTCCCGGGGAGCCTCGGGGACAACCACGGGGACAACCACGGGGACAAATAAGAGGCTGTCCCGGGGAGCCTCGGGGACAGCCTCGGGGATGTCTCGGGACACCTCGGGGACAGCTGCAGGGCTGGCCTGGGGAGCCTCGGGGACGACCGAGGGGACAAATGAGAGGCTGTCCCGGGGACAACCGCGGGTACAACGGCGGAGCTGTCCCGGGGAACCTCGGGGACAACCTCGGGGCCAACCTCGGGGACAACCTCGGGGACAACCTCGGGGACAACCGCCGGTGTCCCCGGGCGCTGCGGGGCTCCGCGGGGACAACGGCCGGGCTGACCCTGCGCCATGACCGTGCAGCGCCCGTCCTGGCCGCCGCTCTACTTCCCGCACTTCCACGGTACCGAGCCGGTGCCGCGGCCGCCCGGGGGAGCCTGGGCCCCTCTGGCCGCGCTGTGCTGGCCGTGGCAGCCGCTGCCGGCCGCGGCGGGGCCGCCCCGCTACGCCGCGCTGCCCGCGGCCGTGGTGCCGGAGCCGCCGCGCCTGTGCTGCCCGCCGGGCGCTCCGCGGGCCGGGGAGCTGGGAAGGCGGCCCCCGGGGCTGGCCCAGCTGCAGCTGCAGGAGGAGATGTGCGAGCTGGGAATCCGCCTGAAGGAGCTGGAGCTGGCGGCGCTCATCGGCGACGGCTTCGACGCCAGGCAGTGTGCGTCCCTGCGGGGCGGGGCGGGAGGAGCGGCGGGGACGCGGCCCCCGAACCGCCCCGCACAGCCCGGACCGGCCCGCAGCCACAGGGCGGGGTGCAGGGGGATGGTTTGGGGTGTCCCCGGCCCGCAGAGCCCCGCAGGCAGCCCGGGGAGCCCGCAGGAGTCCCGGGACAGCCGGCCGGGCTCCCCGCTGCGGCTTACGGGAGATGCAAGAACAGAGGGTGCGGGAGCTGTCGAAGCTGCAAAACCCACCCCGAAGTGGTGAAGTGACAGCGAAAATGCCCTCGCTGCCCTGCAAAATGTATCGGGTACCGAGGAGCAATGCGAGCCCGCGGTGGGGCATCAGCTGGGATGTAAAATAAGGGCCACAGATGGCTGGAGGCATTAAAATGATGCCAAAATCAAAACGCACCTTCCTCCCGTCCCCGTCCCCCCCCCCAAAAAAAAAAACCCAAACAACCCACACCAAAAGAAACCACCGACCGAACAAAAACCCTCCAGTTAAATTATAAGTGAGCTTGGCGTTTGGATTTTGTAACCTGCTGAGGAAAATGCAGGGAATAAAAGAGTTCAGGAGATGATGATGGTACCGAGAGCTGATCCAGCGGTGAGGCCAACAGCTGCAAGGGTTTGATGCTCATGGTTTCCTGCATGGCCACAGGCTGCCAGCCAGGAAACCTTCAGGAGTGCAAAGGTTACAAGAACACGGGGAAAATGTCCATCAGATTTATGCATTCCAAGGAATATCTCCAAAGAATTGGTAGTTTGTATAATTTTTTTTCCTTCATTAAAGCAATACCCTTCTCTTTCCATTTTTAATACCTACTATTTTAATAAACTAGTTTTCAGATATTTGCTAGCCAAGGCACTGTAAGGATTATTAGCTTGCTTAATACATTATTGGATCTACTTTAAAGTAATGTAAATGATTAATGACATCATTAATGGCAAATTATGTTTCATTCCTGTTTAGACAAAATTCTGAAGGCACTGGAAGAAAAGAAGATACAAAGCATGAAAGCAATGCAGAGCCTGAAGTAATGTCCACCAAAATACTGAGGATTATTTCAGCTGGGTATTTTGACACTTATCACTGTGGACTGTTCTAATGGGTCTTCAATATTTGTTTTCTATATGCTGTTCCCCTGCCAAATTAAAAATTTAGCATATTATTGACTTCTTTTGTGTATTATTTGTCCGGTATTAGTTGGTGATGATGCTACTGTATATTTTAACCTTTTTTTTTCTCCTGCAATTACTTGATGCAGGAAGGATATAATATTTCTTCACAAACACTAAGAAATTAACATTGTTTTTGTCAGGATTGCCAGCATTCCATATCTGTAGCTGGGAAACATCTACATGGCAATATAAAATATGGTTGTGTCTTGTTTTGTTGTAGTTCTAAGTTAATTAAGGGCAATTTTGAGTAAATAGATATGGCCAAAAGTCCTAAGCCTCTAAAGCAGCTTAAAAAAACTACTTTCAAATTAGCATTAATATCTTTGTTACAATCACAGTGTACCACAAAATTACAGAAGTTGTGGCTTGAGATGTTTTTTAACAGGGCAGTCACATGCCATTGACTGCCAGCTGACATTTTACTATTATTTCAGGAATAATATATTAATACTATTTATTAATTATATTCATAATGTGTTTAATCATATATAATAATATTTCAGGGCGTAGGCTAAAGCCTGTGGCAGTTTTTGTAGCAACATCCTCCTTTCACCAGTAAAAATGGACAGAGGCAGGGATGGCAGATTGAAGATGTGGGCAGAATTTAGAATTCAAAAGTAATGCCACACGTTAATAACACCACAAAGTAGTAAATAGGCTCATAAAAAAAAAATAAAAATTACTTTTTTCTATTTCATATCCAGAGCAGTAGGTGGCAGCATGAAATAATAAAGTTACCGACCCTAAAGCTGCAATATTTTGGCCAAGAGCTTTATTTTTAAGAGTAATATTTTTATCTCTGGTTTTTTGAACTGTGTTCAAATTGCTCGGCTGAGAAATGTTTTAACACAATACAATATCAAAATTTTATTTCCTCTTACTGCTTATTGCAGCATTCATCCTTACACTGCCTCAGTCTTTCCAGCCAGATTTTGGTCTTCTGTACACAGAGTTTATATTTATGTTTTATTATTATATATAAATATTATTTTATATTTCTATTTTTATTTATTCTATTATAAATTTATGATATTATATATTATATATTGTATATAATATAATGTAATATATATTATATTATATATTCATTATATTATTATATATTTCTATTTATATAATATATAATGTACAATATGTAATATATAATATATGATATATAACATATAACATAATATATAATATATAATATATAATATATAATATGTAATGTATAATATATAATATATAATTTATAATATATAATATATAATATATAATATATTATAATATATTTATATCTTATATATTATATCTTATATCTTATATATTATATATTATATATTGTATATTATATATTGTATATTGTATATTGTATAATGTATATATTATATATTTATATTTATATATTATAATATATTATAAATATTATATTATATATTTTATTTATTAAAAAAATATAACTCTCATTTGTCAATCATCAAACTATAGCTATCACATTTTAATGTAATTACAAATGAACAGCAGAACACTTTGGAAATCTGGGCTGCAGTGTTTCACTGCTCCCTCTGCAGAAAGAGGATAAAAAGGTTCTCAAAGGCTTAAGCAGAAATGGTTAATTGTTGTGAAAATGTGAATGGTTAAACTGAAATTGTTGGTTACTATGAAAATGAGAATTGTGTTAGTGCCCAAATAAATAACAGAAAACAAATTTGGATTGGACAAAGAAGGACCAATACACAGAGGCCTTTAAAGGCTTTGTGGAGAAGTAAGAGCTTTAAAATCTAGCTAGGTAACAGATGAAATATCTTCATTTTCCCAATCTCCAGATCAATTTCGTTCTTAAACCACCCTAAATTTTCCAAGGTTATTGCAAGGGCCTACAAAATTTCCATTACATGGATTTTCTGCTTCCTAACATTTACTTCTCAGCTTTTACCAAGCCTTTCACTTCATACCCAGCCCTCACCAGCCATTATTCACAAGGGTTTTCTTGGCTTAAACAGCTAATTTTCATGGCACACAGGTGAAATATTTTCCATCTGTTTTTCTGTTTTTCATATGGCCTTTATGCTGGAACAACACTTGGCATTTAATTACTGGCTGATAACAAGGAATAACTTTATTATTAATTACAAATTAATATATAATCTCAGGTAGAGTAGCCTGGGGATCTTCTGAAAAAAATCACCTGGATCATGGCATTTAACAGAATGGTTACCCTTGGCCAGTGCCACCCACAGCAATCGTCCAGCAGGATGCTTTGGGCAAAAAAAAACCTTCCTCTAGAAAAAAACAGGCTATTGATACATAATGGCACATATGCTGATTTTCATTGGCCCCTAAACATTTTACTTACCTTTATTTTCTGCTCTGTTTCCCCCTGACCTTGTTAAATCCAGTAATTTGATCTCATCTGAGGGTTTATGGTTTCATCTCAAAGCCGCTCTGTTTATCTTTTTTTTTTTTGCAAAAATTAAGCCATGTACTAGACAAAATAGAACATCATTCTTACTGTGTTTTCTTCACAAAGAATGTGTCATTCATTTTTTTAAGTGTTTCTGTTCTCTTAGATTGCTCAAGAGAGGCTAAACCTGACATTTAGATGCTGGCACAGTTCAGATCTCTTTCACCTCGCTGCTGCCTTGTGACTCAACAAATCTATCCCTATTGCACTCAAGGAAGAAATTTTAGGCTACAAATTTGATTCATGGGCAGAGACCTCAAAACATCAGTGGGTTGCTGCCATTTCCAATCCTAAACAAAGCAATTCTCTCCAAAAGCAGGGTGTCACACCTTCCCAGCCAGACACAGAGCTGCATCTGCACCTGCAGGGACACCCAGGTGGGGAGAGCCCTCAGATCTCCCTTCTGAAACCTCAAATGGCCCTGGCTGCTTTATGATGGGAAAAAAAAATGAGATACAAAGCTCTTCAAAAACCAGAATGCATTTCAGCTTGAAATTATTTTATACCAAACAGTTGGGTCCATTAAATTTCAGACTGCTGTGTTTGAGCTTGCCACATTAAAGTTCTCTGAATAGATATTCAGCCTTATTACAATGGATCATTAGAATTTAAATTAATCATCAAGTCAAGCTGCCTTAATTAGTTCAGGGACAGATTAGAAAGGAGATCCAAAAGCAGTAAGCCATCATGAAATGATTTTTCTGTTTTCAGCAGCGTGTGCTGCATTTTAGATTCACCTGCCCTGAGAATTCAGAGCTAATATCTCAACTGGAGGCAGGGAAATTGAGCAGCACTTGGTTCTGGGAAATTTATCCTCTTTTGCTTGTTTGGCAGGTGGAGTTTTGTAAGGTCACTGACATCTAGATATCAAGTCAAGGAGCTGCCAATCAGGAAATATTCCAAAAGTGTTCCATTTGTCTTTTCCAAGGAAACATATAATTATTAATAGCATGAGCCCACTGAGTTGTGTTACACACTAAAAACACATATTTGTGAAATAGGCCCAGATTTTGGTGTATTTTGAGGAAAGCCAGAACGACCCCTTGAGGCAGTTTAAGTTCTCACAGTCACAGCATGTATATAAAATATATCAATACATTTAAAGAATTGTATCTTAACTAGGCCATCTCTCTAGAACCTTAACAGTGGTAAGTACACTATGGATATAAATGTTCATTCATCCTCTATTTCTGGAAGATCCTTTCCTGCCTCTTTTTTCCTCTGAAGCTACAAAGCAGTAGTAAAGGAACTTTTTATTCCAAATCTCTTGCATCACAAATTACACAAGAGCAGCCCTGTCAAAAGCTGCATTTTCCTCTTCCTTTTATTTCAGAAGGACAGCACGAAGCTCAGGCCTGAGTAAATGATATTAAAAACCACAAAAACAGAATCTAAAGAGGAGGACACAGCAGGAACAACCAGTAAGTAGCAACACAGATTTTAAGACATATTTTATTTCATGTGCAAAATTGCCAAGGAAAACACGTGTACAACTTCAGCTAAGCTATAGCCACTAACATGAAAGGAACTATTCTATGTACTTGTAAGCTTTATTTCTAGAATCACCCTATGGCTCAGAGTAAAAACAGTAATTTGGTAATGACCCAGAACATTTTAAATCCCTCCTTTTCAGTCATATGTAAAATTCTACCATCAGCATGTAGTTTTACATAACAGGTCTTGGAGATTTTCCTTCTGATTGCATAGTATAGAATTTTAATTGTTCATTTTCTTATTCTCTGAATTAATCCCTAGACTCGGCTTTAAATTTTCTCTCAATTTTGCAGCTTCAGAAAATTAATTTTCCCACTTACAGCTGAAACACTCATAAATTTTGAGCAAGTTTCACAGACACAGCCATTACAATTCAGTTGAATCAAGCTGTGAACACCAAAGATAACATGGATATTTGTAATCATGCAGAGCTAGTCCTTTCCATAATTCAAAGATGTAAGAAAAGTTCATTTCCTTGGAAAGTGAGATCTGTTGCCTGGGAAGTGAGACGGTTTTATTGATACAAATTCTGTAAATCTCTGTAAAAAAAATGTCGAGGCTGTTATTGGAAAGGCTCCCTAGAACATACTGAGAGATTATCAAGAGGTGTTTTTTTAACTTGTGCATTCACAAATATTAAGATGCTACCATAAGAACAGGTAATATTTAGTCCTGAACAATTCCCAAAGCTCCATGAAGTAATGAATAAAAAGTGTCCACTGCAGTCCAGGGTTTGTGGCTCAGCAGGGCACTGAGGACAGGCAGCCCCTCCACCCTGCCCTACAGGTGGGACACTGAGGCACAGCCACATTTCAGACCAACCCAAAATCCTGAAGAAGAGAAAACTGACCTTTCATCTCCCAAATTCCAGCCACCCATAACCAGACAGCATCCTTCATCTCTTGGCACAGTTTTAAGACAC